GTGGAAGAAATGTCCGACTGATCCAGTGAATGGAAAGTACGATTGGCATCAGTTGCAAACAATCTGCACTGCACTGATAGTCAGAGTTGTTCAAAAAGAGGATGGATGACATTGCTAGGATTGAAGGGAGCAAATGAAAAGTTACTCATCAAAAGAATATTGCGAGCATCTATAGCTTCTGCCTCCGCCTTATTAATGGTGTGGAAGCGATCTATCAAATTTCTTGAATAACAAGGGGGAACAGGTCAAGTTTGGCCAAAACCAAGTTGACGAGCAAAAAATTGGGGAGCATATATTTCAACCCCAGCTTTGGCATTAGTTCCAGTCAAAATATCATGGAACAACTCCTTCCCGGTCAAAAACTGAACCCAAACGAGCAGAGAGGTGCTCGCATTGTTTAGGGTAGATGGGGATGCACATAATCAGGAGTTAAAAAGGGAGGAAAAGGAAAGAAAGAAGGAATTGAATTCAAAGTATAAAAGAATGAAAAAATGTCCCTTCTGGACATATGTATAGGGCTCAGTGGGTCAATAGCTAGCCCATAGCAGCTAGCAGAATGAAGGGAAAATGATAGAGCACCAAGTGATGGAAAATATGCTCTCAACCACATTTGAGTGAACTAAAGAGGCGCACTGCCAGTGGGAGATGCACCATTGTTCAATTGGAATTGAAAAGAAGTCATGCCTTTATAGAGGGCGGCCAAAAAGGAAGAACACAAATTCAGAGGCCTACCACGCGCCAATTCGTGCGCTATGGGTAAATAGCTCATAGAAGGCTTCAGGCTTGGCACACACAGAATATATTTACAAAGCCAAATCTGAAGAAAGGCCACACGCTCAGCATGAGAAGGCTCAGCGCTCGAGTGATTATAACAGCTTTGTAGGCTTGAATAGGCCTCGGTGAGTTTTTTGTCAAATTTTGGGGTGACACCAGAAATCAAAATATCATGGAAAATGGTATCGCCCAAAGGTGGCAGATTTACTAAGGCCCCAACATCCCTTAAAGTAATGTACATGGGACCAAGGGGGAAAACAAAAGTATTATACTCAGAAGACCAAAAACTTAAAGCAATAGGGAAAAGCGCTGGATCAAAAGTAGGGGGTTGAAGAGAGATTTCTAACAAATCAGAAATCCTAGCACTATCAAAAATTGCCTTGGTAGGACCATGGTCCACAAGGCGAGCATGCCATCTACGGAAAACAACATCAGACTTAGGCCAAGTGCGAATACCTCTTTCGCGAAGCGACCTCAGCGGCAAAAAGTTTAGAAATGGAGGGCCTTGAATACAAGGGAACAGCTGGCCCACCGCCACTTGTTCGACGGCCTCGGCGTTGTTGAATGAAGGACCTAGATAGAACTCGTTGAGTTCGGCATTGGCTGGTGCAAGGAAGTTCGGAGTTATACATGGCCGAGTGAGGATTTTCTGGAAGTCTTTGAAACTAAAAGAGTCACCAGATTGGGATTATGAAACAGCCATTAGGAACGAAATAAAGTTTTGTTGAAGTTTGCTTAAGAAACGTAGCAGAGAAGCAAAAAGATGAACAGTAATATTGCGAGAGGGAAGCGCAGAACAATGAGGCGTGATTTAGTAGTGCGATAAAATGACGTGTATTTGGGGGTTATAAGGGTTTGCAACGTCGCATCTTTTCAGGCTATGGAAGAAAATAATGATTGAAATTCTTGAAAATTTCAAATGTTGCTGGGAAACACAAAGTGAATATGGCAAAAAATTAATAATTGGTATTAATTCTGCCATATTGGGGGGTAATTGTTGACACGTTAAAAGTGCAGCCCGACTCGAATAGCTCAAAGAATGAAGCCCAACTAGACAATTCAGAATAAATGTCCAAATAGGGTTATTAATGAATGCAGTGGAAGCCCACGAACGCGGTAATACCATCGCCCAAACTTGCAAGATGCCCAAGATTTGAGCGAATGAAGTACCTTGCAGTCGCCCAGAGTTATGACCCTGTTCTCTTCCAAACCTTCGAATCGCCCAGGATCTTAGCAAACATAAGATATTATGGTTATCCAAAAGTGCAGTTATCAAAGCAATTATTGGGTAATCTCATCACGTTCCACGATTCAAGGAGTTCAATTGAAGACGGTTGAACGACAAAGAGTAGTGGCAGCATTTAGAGACGACAGTTCCACGATAAATTGGCCACCATGAAGAAAGTGGGCAGTTATAAAGCAATTAAGCAGTTTCTAAGCGGTTGATCACAAAGAGAGCATCAAAGGAATATAAAAGGAAGAAAAGATATAGAGCAAAAGACCCCGAATCAAACACTCTCAAACAGAGAATATGTAATTTCAATTCTTTAGTTTAGACTTAAAACATTTCTTTTCAGTACTCGTGTGTTTGCGTCCCTTGGAGACATTCTGTTTAAATTCCAATTGTAAAGTCATCACCAATAAAACACCCTTTTTTGGGACTTTGT